CTTTATTTATTTTTATGTGGTGCTGAGGATTGAACCCAGGGCCTTGCACGTGCTAGGTGAGTGTGCTAGGTGAGCGCTCAACCGCTGAGCCACAACCCCAGCCCCACTAATACTGCTTTAAAAAAAAGAAAAATCAATGTAGTGTGGCCCACTTCTTAAAGGGCCAGTAACAAATTTAAAAAGAAAAGAAAAGAAATACAGAGATAGCCAACCATAAAGAATCCCCTAAACCATGGCTGGCATACGAGAATCTTTAAAACAGACAGACCAGGACATACAGAATTTCTTATATTTACTTTATCTCTGAGAGACCAATTCCAATTGCAAGATTGTATAATAATTGAGAAAGCCATTCAAGGGCCATATTATAGTAAAACATCATCTTTTTCTATAGGTGGCCCATTCAACCAAGATCTTTCCCACAGACTACCTATGGGATCAACACAGTATTGCCCATGTCTTAAATGGGGGCAACACATATAAACAAAAACAAGACAACCAGAGGGATTTCCCAAAACCAAGGCCAAAAAACAGATGAGAACCTAAAACAGATCAGAAAGGAGTAAAAATTCCCTAGGTTCTTAAGTCATGTTCAACCATGGCTCCTATACCAATGGTGCCACAGATGTCCTGACAAAGAGGATGCAGATGTGTGGRATCAAGGCTCTGGGCATGCACTCTGGGGGACTTACCAGATGACCAAGGTTATTGTGATTTTATTGCATTCAGTTTCATTTTTCTCAAAGTGAACCAAGATGGAGCAATCTGCTCTTCAGGGAGAGAAGGTAGGAGTTCTCTGAAACAAAAAGAGCTTTGGCAGCTGCTGGGATGGTCCCTCAGTCCCTCCCTTTACTTACAGGAATAGCTCTTCCAGTTCACCCGGGTTCAACATACTCAGGAGGGTCAGGGAGGAGGAGCTCTTGAACCTGGAAGTTTGAGGCCGTTTAGCCTAGGGCCCTGTGCAGTTCCTCACAGGGCCCGAACCAATCAGTTTGAATGTGTAACCAGCTTACAAATGACCAATCACCGCCGCCCGCCCGGTTCCCGCCAATGATTGTGCCAATCACATCTCAGAGTTGTTGTTCAATTTCCCCGCGCCTCATGATGATTTGTTCTGATGTATGCAAAGCCCACCGCCCTCTCCAAAAAGTGTACTTAAGCTCTGCTTGACCTTTGCTCTGGGCTCTGAGCTGTGCTCCCTTCTTGAGTGGGCACAGAGTCCCAGCGCGCTGGAATGGATCCCCAATAAATCCCCTTTTGCCAATTGCATGGAGTAAGTCTCTTGTGTGGTCTCTCCCTCCGACGTTCCGCCGGACCCCCCCCTTACAAGAGAGCAAGAGTAGAGAAGAGAAAGGTCACGAAGCCAAGAGATAAGAGCAACACCAGGAAGATAGAGAAGTAAAGATAGGAGGAGAAGAACAGATTCATGGAGCTCAGAGAGAGAAGAAAGTCAAAACAGAAACAAAGACAAATATAGAAACCAAGAAAGTAAGAATTCACACAGGAAAGAAAATACTGAGGGTGAGAAAAGAATGTACTCTAAAAATTGTGATCATAGTAGCTCAAATAATTACAGGAGGAAAAAAAGTCTAATAGAGAGTCAAAGTCCATTCTCAAAAATTAAAAATAAATAAATAAATAAAAGTAGTCAGGACAATTAATTAAAACCCTCCACATTGAAAAATAAGGAGAATGAGAAGACCAGATCCCCAATGGAAAAATAAAACCAAAAATCAAAGTGAAGTGGCACCCCCTTTCTCCACAGAAAAGCCCTCTTCACCATGGCTGATTTTAGGACTGTCAGCAAGAGTCTCTGTGAAAGAATCCAATGTAGATAAACTTCCTATTTTCTTTTTTTTTTTTTTTTAAAGAGAGAGTGAGAGAGGAGAGAGAGAGAATTTTTTTTTAATATTTATTTTTTAGTTCTCGGCGGACACAACATCTTTGTTGGTATGTGGTGCTGAGGATCGAACCCGGGCCGCACGCATGCCAGGCGAGCGCGATACCTCTTGAGCCACATCCCCAGCCCCTAAACTTCCTATTTTCGTGTCACCTGTTTACTTGGCCACTGGCYGAGAAGATACCAGCACTCCAGGTGCTGGACACCCCCTTACTAATTTTTCACAAACATATCCAGTATAGTACTTTGAAGAAATATGCAAACATAGGCCTCTGGCCTTGAGCTGGGGCTTCACAGAGATGTCTACATTCTTAAGATAAGTTACAAATGGGCTCCATGGTAACAGCTGGCAGGGGGTGGAAAGAAAGGAGAGAAGAAACTCTCCCCTTCTCAGGTGTTGTCCTTGAACAGTTAACTTGCCCAGAACAGTGAAAGAAAAGCTGGTTTTATGTGAACTTCTGTGGACTGTGAACTTCTGAGCCCCTCCCCTTACATGCTGTGTATAAAACTCTGAAACTCCCTGAACTCAGGGTTCAGGGGATTTCATTAATTACAGCAAAAGCTGTGCCCTCTGAACCTGGTTGCAGCCAAATAACACTGTTTTCTGCTATCTTTGGTACCTTGCCTTGTTTGTCGCTACAACAAAAGGATCAAGAAAATAACCATAAACATGATAAAAATTTTTAAAAATTTGATCATGAATCAATCCCTGGAACAGATGAAGACAAAAATGGATGAGTGAGTTGTGTAACTATTTCCTTTCTGTCTCAATATTTAAGTTTTAGAGACTTGCTAATGAATCTCCTCTTTTTTTTTTTTTGAGTTGTTTTATGTTTGTCTTTTTAGACTTCATTGAGTTGAAGTCTGCAACCTAGATAATTTGTACTGCCAATGTTTTAATAAACTTGAAATGAAGAAAAAAATAAAATTATGAGCCTTTCAATCTATGACAAAAGCATTTGATATTTCTGGTAGACATGGAGTTGAGCCACCCAGAATCTCCTTCAGTGTGGTTCTTGCTGTCCAGCTGTGGGGAATGCAGTAGCAGACTCTGGCTCTCAGTCCTTCAGGATCTACCTCAGCTTCAGAGAGCAACCTCCCCAGAGGCTACACCATTCCCAAGACAGCCTACATCGGGTAGGCTGAGATAAAAGGGCATACTCAGTCTTGCCAGTAGGGGGTTATTCTGACAGATAATTCTCTCCTGTGTTCTCTGTTGGATTGATGGAGGTTTCATTGAGGCCTATAACACAGGGTAATTTCTCATTATGCCCTATTCTTCTTTCTATTCCTGTAGAAAGAAGAACCTTTACATAGATTAGTTCAGAATATCTTGTTCTCTAAATTCCATCTCAACATTTTTTTTTGGGGGGGGGGTGTAAAGGATGATGGAAAAGCTCCGTAAACTCAACAAGCCAAAACAACCGAAGCGGCCAGTCGCAGGGGGAGAGGGAGGAGAGAGAGGGGGGGAGACAGAGAGAGAGAGAGGAGGAGAGGAGTGGGGTGGAGAGAGAGAGAGGAGAGGGGAGAGAGAGGAGAGTAAGAGAACGAACACGACTAGGGTATTGATATTTATGGGCTTAACACAGGATGAGGAG